AGTGAGGTTGGCCCAGGATCGGACATTGTTTCGTTCTGCTGTGCATGGGGTCGCTATGAGTCAGTTCCAACTCGATGGCACCTGACAACAACAACAACAGGGTTCCTTTATTCTAACAAGGTAGTAAATAAATGTGGGATTGATGTAGCCTGCTGTGGTTTCAACAGTGTACCACAAGGTGGCACCAACTTCAAAAACTGTTTTAGCTACTTAGGGAAACTTTGGGAACATATTGAAAGCTCAGAGGCTCCATACATCCAGTAATGGACTGCAAACCATAAGGTGTGCGATTCAAGCCTGCCAGCCACTCCATGGGAGAAAGATGAGGCTTCCTGCCCCCATGAAGATTTAATCTCAGAAACCTTATACAGGTTCGCTGAGTTGGAATTTACTCAACAGCACTTAACAACAGTTGAAAGTTCTAATCATAGAACTGTGTCGTGAGCAGAGAGAACCTTAATTGAAAGTAGCTCCCCTTGAAAGCACCCAAACTATTGATAGTTTTGAATCAGTTTTATAGAATTAAAATGTTAGTGTTCGAAGAATCCATAGGGTTTGTTCATTCCCTGATTTTCAGATGAATGGGAAATTTATGGAGGGGCCAATTTGGTTTTTAAAAATAAAGCCATTCTTTAAAGAGAGGGATAACAGAAGTACGATAGTCAAAATTTTAGGAAAAATAGTTCTAAATGAGATAAAACTCTACAAAATTTCCCATATTTTCTTACTTTATACACCCCACCAACCCTACCGCCAGGAAACCAAGGGCCAGAGAGTTAAACATTTCCCACATACTGATGTAACTCAGTTCTGGTATGGCACTGTGAGATAAGCACTGGACTGCTAACCACAAGGTTGGCAGTCCAAACCCACAAGCCACTCCTTGGAAACCCTATACAGAGTCGCTATGAGTTGGAACCGACTCAATGACACTTAACATAACGTAATCTGGAAAATACGTAATTTAGAAGATCAGCTCATTCCTTAACTCTGAAGTACTTTTCTTAAAGAGTTATTGTTACTTGTGGTAATTTTGCTCATAATAGTGGACTTACGGAGTGTGGCTCTATAGAGTAAGCACTGAATTGTGAACAATAAGGTCAGCAATTTGAGCCTACCAGCCACTTTGCAGGAGAAAGATGAGGCTTTCTGCTCCTGCCAAGCTTTGCAGCCTTGGGAACTCTGCAGGGTCCGTCTTCAGTTGGATCCAGCTCACTGGCTGTTAACAGCAGCAGCAGTAATAGTGTGCTTACAGCTTAGCACTAGAACACACGGCCCTGGTGACTTTCCATTAGCCTTGTTGTTGTGTTAATCTGTCGCTGGTTGTTTAAATGTTCTTCCTCTAGAACGTCCCACCCCAAGGAAACCTTTCTACTGATGTTCCTAGTTTTAACAGTTTACTTAATACTTGTCTTTGTCATTGATTTTGTGTTTCTTAGTCATCAGATTTGATGAACTTCTAGACAGTAGTGCCAAGTTCTTTTGGCACCTATTAGTCCATGAAGACAAGTAGAGAGTCACCCTCTGAAAAATGCAGTGTTGTTGTTGTGGTTAAGTGCCGCCTAGTCATTTCTGACATAGTGACCTTGTATAGGGTTTCCGAGAAGCAGCTGGTGGATTTGAACTGCCAACCTTGTGTCTCAAAGTCCAGCGCTGAGTCTATAGTGCCGCACCAGGAAAATGCAGTTGTTGTTGCTGAGTTTCGTCGAGTCAGTGCCGACTCATAAGGATGCTGTATAGGGTTTGCGAGGAGCGGCTCGTGAGTGTGAACTGCCATCTTGCCTTTTCCCACAGTGCAACACACAAAAACAGCCTTCTTTGGATTAAGCAGATTTGTGTATATAGGTGGCATACATGGTTTGCAGTCAACAGCTAACTTAAGGTGGCGGTTCGAGCTCACCAGACAGTACGAGGAAGAAGAGGCTTGGTGATCTGCTTCTGTTAAGACTGCAGCCAGGAAGACTCTGTGGAGCTTGTCTCTGCACACGTGGGGCAGCTGGAGTCAGAACGGACTTGAAGACAACTATATATATATATATACACACACATAGGAAATGATTGAGTTTGATTTTACAAATATATATATGGCTAGCTATTCATAATATTCCAAACTCCTGTCTTCCAAACTCCTGTCGATTCCCTTTCCGATTCTGTGATCCATGGTTGCACTGTGGGTTAAGCACTGGGCTGTTAACCAGGGTTCAAACCTACCAGCCACTTAACAGGAGAAAGGTGATGCTATTCCCCTAACGATTTAGTCTCAGAAACTCTCAGGAGCAGGTCTACGCTGCCCTATAGCATCTCTGAATCAGAATCAACGCGATGGCCATCGGAGGTGGCACAGGGAAGAAAAATCTCCTCATCTTTTTTCAAATGGGGTGATGAAGGGGGCTGTAGAAGAATTAATGTGTTTGAGTTACGGCATTAGAGAAGAATGTTAGGGGTACCGTAGACCACCAAAACAACAAACCAATAATCTGTGTTGGAAGAAGTGTAACCAGAAAGCTCCTTGGGAGCCAGGGTAGCCAGATGTCATTGCTCATACTTTGTACATGTTATCAGAAGGGACCAGTCTATGGAGACGGACTTTGTGCTTAGTAAAGTGGAGGATCCGCGAAAAAGAAGAAGGTGCTCAATGAAGATGGATTGGCACTGTGGCGGCAGCAGTGAGCTCAAGCGTTAGCAATGATTGTGAGGTTGGCAGTCTTTCATTATGGTGTGCATAAGGTTGCTATGAGTCAGTACTGACTCAATGGCACCTAAAAACAACAATAATGCAGAGGAAAGGAATCCTGGTGGCACAGTGCTTTAGCACTCATCTGCCAACCCACCAGCAGCTCTGGTGAGAACATTTGGCAGTCTGCTTCTATAAATATTGTCATTGTTGAGTGCTGTTGAGCCGCTTCCGACTCAGAGTAACCCTGTATCAGATTTCCGAGGAGCAGCTGGGGGATTTGAACTGTACACCTTATGGCTCCAAGTCCAGTGCTGCTCCTACAGCACCACAGGAAACCCTACGGGCAGTTCTTTTCTGTCATAGACGGTGACTATGAGTTGCAATCAGTTTGTCACACAACAACAGTGAGGACAGACAGTTACCAAATGGCTGTCTCTAATACCTTACAACCCAGGAGTCTCTGAACAGCTTTATTAGCCCATTGGGTGGAAAAACTAAAGTTGTTAGTAAAGGCCTCTTATTAGCCATATTTGTCTATTTGTAGGTTTGTTTTTTCTCACTTGAGCTAGTTAAACTGTCTTCTCTTTGCTTGTTTAAGTTTCAGACAGTCCGAAATAAATGTGATGTGGTTCGAAAGGGTGACCTTTCCTTTGGTTACTTCTGGATTATAGAAGACCTTAGAATGTTTGTTGAGCAAGTGACTGTTTGTCAATAATTTCCAGGTTTTTAATAAAGTAACTGGTGGTGATGGTGGTTACGTGATATGGATTGAAGTCCAGTTCCGACTCGTAGTGACCCTGTACAGGGTTTCTGAGACTGCAAATCTTTACGGAAGCAGAAAGCCTCATCTTTCTCGCACAGAACTGCTGGTCGTTTTGAAATGCTGACGTTGAGGTTAGCAGTCTGACTCGTAACCACTGCATGACCAGAGCTCCTTAGAGTTGTTGTTGTTGTTGTTGTTATTGAGTGCCATCAAGTTGATTCCAACTTATAGCGATCCTGTGTAGGGTTTCCAAGGAGTGGCTGGGGAGTTTGAACCACCAACCTTGCTGGGGCTTAGGAAGGGAGAAGGATATATGAGTTTGAATGAATACATTTGCTTATAATAATGATTTTGTTTCTAGCGAGAAATGATCAGATATGATAACCTTTTTGTTTTTTCTCCCTCTTTCTCTCTTTTAGATCGGAATAATTGGTGGAACCGGCCTGGATGACCCAGACATTTTAGAAGGAAGAACTGAAAAATATGTGGATACTCCATTTGGCAAGGTCAGTGGCCAATTCAGGGAGACACGTTGGCTTGTTCTTTCTCCTTGTTGGCTTGATTATTTTTTTAAGTTAAAAATGAAAGACTTGCTTTGTCATGGCAGTCTGGGGCTGTGGGCCCGAATTCTTGCTGCTGACTTCTGTCAGCTGAGGCGTGTCTGACAGAGTGGAGGCCTTGGACCATGCTGTGTGGAGCACATGGGCCTGCACACATAACTTTCCATTTTGATATTGCTAGAAGCCAGATACTCATTTAAGACCTAGCAGCTGGCCTCTCTATTCAAATCAGCTTACCTCTATTTTAGGTCTTTTGGTCACCCCGTACTAATTTAGGGGGGATAGATTGGTGGCCAAAAGGAGGCTTTGGTGGTTAAGTGCTGGACTGCTAACCAAAAGATCAGCAGTTCAAACCCACCAGCTGTCCCTTGGGAGAAACATGTGGCAGTCTGTGTCCATAAAGATTTACCGCCTTGAAAACGCTGTGATGCCGTTCGGCTCTGTCCTGTCAGAACGCCATGAGTCACGATTGACTTGACAGCAGTGAGTCTTTTGGGTTGACTAAAGAGAGGAAGTGTCTGTCATTACAAAGTGGCATTTTCTTAGTGTGCACTGGTCCCAAGGAGGATCGTAGCAGGGATGCAGAACGCAGCTAATGTAAATGCCTGAACTGGAAATCGAATCTTCCTCCTTTTCTAGAATAGATTCCTTATCCCAACCCATATATCACTCAGCCTGGACCCAATTCCATGTTTCCACTTCCAGACCTCACGGTTCCTTCTGAAGCGCCCATGGCGGAACATCCCAACCACATCCTCCTGTTCCCTAAATCCTTAGATTGCCTAACCGAGCACCTTCCAAGTCCAGCGGTCACCTTGGCTAACTGCTTCACCTCCTGTTTTCTTATCCTTCTTTAGTTCTGAGGGCCTTCTTCCACTCCCTCAGTCATTCCATCGCCCTCATGGACCTGATTAAGACAAGCAAACTGGTCCAGAGCTTAGTTCTTAAATCCTGTGACCGTGGCCTCCTGTTCGTTCTGCCTTTCACTCACCTATTCTTGAACCTGCCAAAGACTCTTGACCTCTTGACTGTCCCAGACCCTTGAGGTGCCTGTTACTAATAGACTAAATCTGACTAAATGGCTCATATCCAGGTATCCAAGGCAGGCGCAGATCAAATGTAGACTTCTTTTTGCTTCTCCAAGGTAAATCCTATTGTGGAGAAACCACAGTTCAAATGACATCTTTTTAAGTGTGTGTGTATATACCAGGGGACTTCAAAAAGTTCATGAGGAAATGAAAAAGATAAAGGAATACTTTTCTATACAGTTTTTGAAAGCCCCCTCCCCCCAACCTTGTACATCCAGGTGAGCAAATGATTAATCCCTCAGAAGAAAGACATGACTGTCTTCTTCTGAAAGATCCCAGCCATTGAGGTTTTACTCTAACATACATGGGGGCTCTGTGAGTCAGAATTGACTTGATGGCCACTGGTTTTGCTTTGGGGGTATGTATATGCACATGTGAATGGAATGTATGTGTTTGAATCACTGGTTGAAACCATTTTTCTCTCTGTAGCCATCTGATGCCTTAATTTTGGGGAAGATAAAAAATGTGGATTGTGTCCTTCTTGCCAGGTAAGATATTTGAAGCTTTTCAAATGTTAATCACTAAGCAGGAATTTAATTTGCCTAAATTTCTGGAAAAAGTAATGATCCACAGGTTTTTGTGCTGGTGGCATCAGGGCATCAGAGTCACCTCTCTTTGCTGCTACCTTTGGGTGTCAGCGATCTCATTACTGGTAGGCTGGGGAAGAGGGTACCTGAGCTGGTCAGTAGGTGTGGTGAGTGAGTTTGACCAAGATAGAAGTCCCGGCTTCAGTTCACACTGCAAAAGGAAAGTATTCTTCTGTTCGTGTCTCAACATCACGAAAGATGATGGCAATTTTGTGGCCCCTTGCATAGAGATAGCGGTGTACTTGGAGGTTGTGGGTTTAGGGTCTCTGGAGTGAGCTGCTTATAGCATCTAGAGCCTAGAATCCTAGATGAGGCTAGCAATTCCTCATTTTGTAGAGATTTGTGTTTTTGCTAATGGTACGGTTTGTCTTCGACCTTTAATTCAGCCCATCTACTGGCTAGGGGTACTTTGATTAAAATCCTTGGCCTCATTCACTCTCTTTAATTGGGGTCCTGGTGTGGCACTGTGGATTAATGCACTGGACTCCAAAGTCATTTTGAACCACAGGGTCAGCGGTTCAAGCTCACCAGCTGCTCCTCAGAAACCCTTTACAGGGTCGCTATGGGTTAGAACCGACTCGATGGCACTTAACAACAACTGACTAGGGATTCTTTGATTAAAATCCTTGGCCTTATTCACTCTCTTTATTCCTTGTTCCAGTCTTTGTTCTCGTCAGGTAAACAGTGCGTTCTAAATTTGGGTCGTTGTTTTTGTTTTGTGCTGTGGAGTCGGTTCCGACTCATAGCGACCCTGTACAGGGTTTCCGAGGCTGTAAGTCTTTACGGGAGCAGAAAGCCTCATCTTTCTCCCGTGGAACAGCTGGTAGTTTCGAACTGCTGACCTTGAGGTTTGCAGCCCGATTCGTAACCACTACGCTACCAGAGCTCCAAATTTGGGTAGTCTTTATTTTAAAAAAAGAGAGACACAAAAGAATTTTTATCACTAGAAATTAATCACACTACATGAATTTGTTTTCTTTTGCTGCATAACAAGTAACCACCAACGAAAGCGTGTGAAACAGTGTACATGCAGTACTTCCGTTTCCCTGGGTCCGAGTCAAGCCACGGCTTAGCTGGATCCTTTGCTCTGGACTCAGGAGGCTGCACTAGGTCGTGTTGTTGGCAGAGTTCAGTTCCTCACAGTTGAAGGCCTGAGGCCCTCAGCTCCTGTTGGCCACCCACGGTTCCCTGCACAGGCGGTTCGCAGCATGGGCAGCTTGCTGCTACTTCAAGACAAGCTGGAGTGTGTGAGCTGCCAAGTGGAGCCCCATCACAGAAAGGCCATCCCGGTATTATTGCCCCATTCCAGTAGTGAGAAGCAAAGTCTCAGTTCTACCCACACTCCAGGGGGACAGTGTATAAAATGTGAACACAGGGGCACTCTACATTATAAAACTGTAAGCGGTTCCTCTGAGTGCAATAAAACAAAATTGTCGTTTTACATGATGCCATGGGGTGCGTTTCAAGGAAGCTTCTTAGTTGGTCTGTGGCCATTGCTGAAAAATTGCTTAGATTTTTCAAAATAGAGGAGAAAACAAGGGGCCCTGGTTGTACAGTGGTTACGCACCGGGCTGATAATTGGAAGGTTGCCAGTTCAAATGCACCAGGTGCTCCACTGGTGAAAGATGCTTGGGTGGGGCCGTAACTGACTCGGTGGCAGTGGTTTGGGTTTGGTGGCTTGCCCCAGGGAGAGTGTTTCACTGAGATGAAATGTATTGGGCTCTGGAGTACCTTCTGATGCAGTGGTTCTTAGCTACTTTTGATTTCTTTTGAAAAAGCTCATCATAGGTTTGGAGACCCACCTCAGAAAAGTGTGTGCCCTTTCCGGACATTCTTGGACCTCCACCTTCTGCTGTCAGTTCGTTTTCTGAAGTTTTTAATGTCTTGACCACTCATCAGGAGCCCTGGTGGTATGCTGGTTAAGTGCTTGGCTCCTAACCAGAATGTGAATAGTTGAAAGCCAATAACCACTCCATGGGAAAAAGATGGGGCCATCCGCTTCCACAAAGACAGATTGACAGCCTTGGCTACCTTAGGAGCCGTTCGATCGTGTCCCACGGGATGACTGCGAGTCCGCCTCACCTCAGCGGTCCAGTGGGCTGGGTTTGGGTTGGACCACTCATCACCAGTTGCACTGTCCTTCCCATAGGCATGGGAGACAGCACACGATCATGCCTTCAAAAGTCAACTACCAAGCGAACATCTGGGCTCTGAAGGAACAGGGCTGTACACATATCATCGTGACCACCGCATGTGGCTCCTTGAGGGAGGAGATTCAGCCCGGAGACATCATCCTCATCGACCAGTTCATAGACAGGTGAGCAGGCGCTTTGCCCTCTTACAAGGTCACTCTGGGGGTAGTGCCTGGGTTAACTTGCTCCAACTGCTGACCAGAAAGTTGGAGATTCAAGTTTCCCCAGAGTCACAGTGGAAGAAACTCCTGTCAGCTCTTGAAAACCTTATGGAACACAATTCTACTGTACATAGTGGGTCACATCGACTATGAAAAGATCATTCCCATCCCGGGTAGCTGATTTGTGGAAAGCTGGGAATAGGAGGGGGTATGTCCACAGGCTAGTTTTAAGCTCTTCATTGTGGGAATTTTTAAACATACTCATTAGGAACCCTAGTAACATTGTGGGTTACATGTTGGGCTGCTAACTACAAGGTTTAGCTGTTCAAATTCACCAGTTGCTTCATGGGAAAGACTCAAGGCTTTCTGCTTCTGTAAAGATTTACAACCTCAGAAACCCCATCCAGCGTCGCTGTGAATCAGAACTGACTCAGTGGCATGCCATAGAAGCAGCAACAATATAGAATAATTCTGTGAACTTGCAAGTTCCTAATTCCAGGCTTTAGCAATTGTCAATTACTGCAGTGTGAAACTTTCAAAGATACAGCCCATTTACAACACACACACACATAAATTCCGATTTCTTTAGTTTCTGATATCTAGGCAATGATCTCTTTTTTCTTAACATCTCAGCATCTTGTATTTTCACAGTTGGTTCCATCAAGTCAAGATCTGAATGAGGTCCACTCATCCACACAAGGGCTGGGCAGAGGGTCCCACTTCCTCTTCTCCCCCATGTAGTGTCTTCTTCTGCCCCATTTTTTCTGGGAGCTGGCATTTCGCTCTAGAGACCTGATCAGAACCAGGTTTGCTTTCTAGGCAAGAAGAGTACTTCTGTACCCCGTGAGGAGGCATGGGACATCTGGTGACCACTGGGTGCTGTCAGTGGTCACCAAACGATGTGCCGTGGGCTCCACGCTGTTGAGAGCCTGAGGTCCCCACAGCCATGGCCATGACCACAGCTGGTTTGAAGTTACAGAGTTCCACAGCCACCTGTGGACTGTCCCATCACAGGGTACCAGGGACACTAGATGAAGAGGTTGCATCTGGCCTCCATCACATCACTTCACCTTCCTGGGTCTCCATCTCCTCTTGCAAGTTGAATCCCCGGCTTCCAGGCTCCCTTGACCTGTACACCTCTTCAGGGACTCATTTAGAAACACACGGTACTTGTGCCTGTAGCTTTGTTAGCACAAGATTCTTGCCTGTAGAGGGCACTGTAGGATAAGCACTGGATTACTTACCACAAAGTTCAAACGTGCCAGCCACTCCATGGAAACCCTATACAGGGTCGCTGTGAGTCGGAACCGACGTCAAGGCACTTAGCAGCAGCTACAACAGAGTGTTTTCAAAGTCAAGGTGAGTGTTTTCAGCTCTCTGACATAGGAGTGTGATACAGGAAGAGTTATGATGCAGTATGGTGGCTGGTCTTTTATAAATGGCAGAACTGCTGTCTTTGCCCTCAGTGCCCAGCAGAGGGCATGAAACACCCACCCAGCGCATCAACGGTTTTTGTTTTTTTTTGCAGACCCCAGCGGCCATTGCGATTTAACGCGTGACAAGGGGCTGTGATTTTCTCAGTTGTTTTTAAAATGTTAAGGGTCTACTCTAAAACATGAAATTTGTCCAGGAAAGAGTCTGAGATAGCACAAGTCCTTTGAAGACACCGGCTACCATGTATTAGCCATTTTTTTGTGTCAGGAACATTGAAAAAAAGTTTGCCACTCTTTTTTATTTTTTCCTTTCCAATTATGTGTTACATGTTAAGAAGTTGGAAAATACTAATAGCTATTAAGAAAATAAAAATTCCCCATAACCCCCAAAACTCCAAGATTAAAAAAAGAAGAAAAGGAAAGAAGGCCTTTCTGGACACCTTCTTTCTCTCGCTGCGTCCCAGCTGTGAAATATCGGAGAGTCCCTCTGCCACAGCCACGTGGGGAGCCACTGTGGTGGTGCCAAGTATTTGGGGGCAGGGTGTCCTGTGTCTGTGTTTTTCCACAAGTGCCAAGGAAGCAACATGGCTGACATTTAAAGTGAAAAGAATCATTTTTGTGATTGGGGCAGTAGTGGAAAACCAGATCGATCTTAATCTAGAGCTGGGCTGGGAAACGTCTGACCCTCAGGCTGTGTAAGGCCCATGAAATCATTTACCACAGTTCCAGCCATCATATCAGGAGTGAGTTCATTAAATGTTTGACCAAATATAGCAGCAGGTTAATTTTTAAATTGATGATTTCGTATGGCCCACAAATGATGTTACAAATTTTGGCATTAAAAATTTAGGTTCCCCACCCGTGATCTAGAGCTTGCTAGAAGAGCATGTGGCCTTGGCCATTTCCCCATTTGTATTGCATGATGATAAACTTCCTGTCTTCTCCTACCCTTGGTCCTCAGTCCATGTGTGACAGTCTTTGCAAATTAAAAGTGGGGTTGTTATCTCCGTAGTCCCTGTGTGGAGTATCTGAAATGTGTTGCATTACAGTTTGAGAAATACAGAGGACGTGTAAGAAGCTGGTCCGTTGTAGGTTTCCTCAGTGCCCGATGCCTCCTACTGTGCTGGGATTGATCAATCTGTTTCTTTGACCTTGTAGAAGATCCCCAATGCCTGAGCAATGGTCATGTGGAAATTGGGGGTAAAACATAGTAAAGACTAGAACTTGTTCCACTTCCTGGCTGTCATGAAATAGTCCCCTGGAACTGGGAAAATTATTTTTGACGTGACACTTTCTCCTAAGAAAGTTGTGGTTCTGTTTATGCTTTACAAGGCCTCGTACGGGTTATGCTCCAAAGTTAACAGTTTTGGGGTTCCTTTCCTGTTTGTGCAGAGCCCCTGAGTGTGGAATTCCAGAACATCAGCCACTGAAAACCCTGGGAATCACAGCTGTACTCTGACACACGTGAAGTCACCTTTTAAAAATTATCACAAAAACTCTTCAGTGACAGAGACTGCATTTTTGACAGTGTATCAACCTTCATGTTAATTTCTAGTAGTTTCCCTGCCCCTTCACCCTTCCATCTTTGTTTTAAGGTCGTTGTTTCTCAGGAGAGTTTTGATTGCACTGGATTTTTGATTGCAAGATGACTTCCCTCCAGCTGCAGTTTCAAAGCATGACACATTTTGTTGTCTCTTCCTGTTTTCCTCCCAGTGCACAAGCCTTCCATTTCCTAACGCACTACTGCCAGCTACTCACACACACCGCGTGGGAGGGGGGTGATACAGCATTTCTTTCACCCAGTCTGCTAACTGTGCTCCTGTGGACAGGGGATTCTAGCTGTATTCTCCCTCGTTCATCCTTAATCCTGATTGTTAGCACCAGAAGGAACTCAGTTCACTGTAATATGCAAGTAGTAAAAGGAACAACTGGATCTGTAAACAGGGTAGAAATAATGCTTGCATTATATTAGGTTTACAACAAAAAAAGTATAGCTAGTAGGACATTTTAAACTACTTCTGTCACGAATACCCCCAAGGTAAGACCAGAAAACCTGCTCAGTAAGTAAAGGGTAAGATGACTTACTCTGTAATTACTGGTTTGCAGTTGAGCCAACTCGTGACTCATGGTAATTCATAAATGGCTGAATTTTTTGAAAATAGACTATCCAAGCCTCCTCTGGGTGGATTCAAACCCCCAACCTTTGGGTTAGCAGCCAGTACCCAGGAGCTCCCACTTAATTAAAACAACAAAACAAAACTTGTTGCTGACTCCTCACAGGACAGACTAGCCGTGACCCACAGGCTTGTTAAGGCTATTATCTTTGTGGAAGCAGATGGCCACATCTTTCTCCCAACAAGTGGCTGAGGAATTCAAACCACCAACCTTTCAGGTAGAAGCTGAATGCTGCTTTAACCATTGTACCGCCAAGTTCCCCAACCCATTGGCATCAGGTGTGTTCCGACTCAGCAAGCCTGTCAGACAGTAGAACTGCCCCTTCGGGTTTCTAAGGCTGTAAACCTTTATGGAAGCAGATGGTCCCAGCTGTCTCCTGTGGAGGGGCCGCTGCTTTAAACTGCTGACCTGTCTGTCAACAACCAAGTGTTTAACCACTGTGTTACCAGGGCTCCTCCTACTTACTAGTGGTCCCTAACACAGCTGACACCAACAGAAACGCAAAAAGGAAAGGTCTAGAGGCGGTGCTTGAATTTAGGGATTTCCCCACTTGTTTCTGTCCGTGACAACCCAAGCTTGAGCTTCAGAACACTGTTCCGGGACTACAGGGAGCTCCAACTAGTGTGAGGACATTTTCATTATCTTTTAATCCCATTTCCCCCATGAACTTTCTAAAGCCCTCTTGTGTGGGGGATTCATCTCTTGGCATATATTTGGGGAAATAGAAAGGAACTACAGTGATCAAAGGTGTTTCTGTATACCACAAATAGTTCATGTGTTTGCTGGAACTCAAAGGTGGAGGTTTAAGTCCACTCAGAGGCACCTTGGAAGAAAGGCCTGGTAATTTGTTTTTGAATGGTCAGCCACTGAAAACCCTCTGAGGCCACTTACGTTCTGATATGCATGTGCTCACTGGAAGTCAGAGCCCAACCCCAGCAACGTGTTTGACTTTCTGGTGGTTGGAAATGATTCTCCTTCTGATTTTTCCCTTTATTTGTCCCATTTGCCTGATTTACTTGTACTAGATTCAAAGTCTGTAGCTCTGGTAGCATCGTGGTTATGAGTAGGGCTGCTAACCTCAAGGTCAGCAGTTTGAAGCTACCAGCTTCTATGGAAGAAAGATGAGGCTTTCTGTTCCTGTAAGCATTTACAGCCTCGTAAATCCTATGCAGAGTTGCTATGAGTCCGAACTGACTCTACGACACACCACCACCACCAAAATTAAAAGTTAACTGTTGTTGTTAAGTGCCACCGGGTCAGTTCGGACTCATAGCAACCCAGTATGGGGGTTCTGAGGAGCAGCTGGTAGGTTTGAACCATTGACCTTGTGGTTCCAGTGAAATGCTTATCATACAG